TAGTTTCACATTTAAGTCTTTGATCCATCTGGAGTTAGTTTTTGTGTGTGGTGTGAGGTACAGATCTTGTTTCATTTTTCTGCAAATTGATATCCAGTTTTGCCAGCACCATTTGTTAAAGAGACCATCTCTTCCTCATTTAATGGATTTCAGCCCTTTGTCAAAAATCAGCTGATCATAGGTCAATGGATCTATTTTTGGGTTTTCAATTCCATTCCATTCATATATGTGTCTTGTCATTGTACCAATACCAGGCTGTTTTGACTACCATGGCTGATCATTGCTTTTGCTGTGTTCCAAAGATTTTGGTATGCTGTGTTTTCACTCTTGTTTGATTCAAGGAATTTTTTAATTTCATTTTTTGTTTCTTTTATTACCCAGTCATTTTTAAGGAGGGTGTTAATCAGTTTCCATGTACTTGCTCTTTTTCTGTTGGTCTTCCAATTGTTGACTTCTAATTTGATAGCATTGTGATCTGAGAAAATACTTTGCAGTATTTCAATGTTTTAAAATTTATTAAGGCTTGCTTTATGGCCTAACATATGATCTATCTTGGAGAATGTTCCACAAGCACTGAAAAAGAATGTATATTGTACTGTTGTTGGGTGAAGTGCTCTGTAGATGTCTATAAAATCAAGTTGGTGGATTATACTGTTTAGTTCTTCTGTGTCTTTGCTGAGTTTCTTTCCAGTTCTATCTTTCATTGAAAGTGGTATATTAAAGTCTTCTACTATGACTGTGGAGTCATCTGTTTGCCTTTTTAATTCTGTTAAAGTCTGATTTATGTATTTGGGGGCTGTTTCACTTATTATGGTGATATCCTCTTGTTCAATTGATACTTTACTCATTATATAATGCCCTTCTTTGTCTCTTATGGTGGTTTTTGTCCTAACGTCAATTTTATCAGAAATTAATATTGCCACTCCTGCTCTTTTGTGGTTGCCATTTGCTTGATATATCTTTTCACAACCTTCAATTTTTAGTCTATGTTTGTCTTTGTCTCTAAGGTGTGTCTTTTGTAGACAGCATATTGATGGGTTATATTTCCTTATCCAGTGCAACTCTACATCTCTTGAGTGGTGCATTTAATCCATTGACATTCAGTGTAATTATTGGCAAGTATGAATTTGTTGCTATCATTTTGTTATGTTTTTTCATGGTGTTGCTGATTTCTTTGTTACATGCAATTTTCAGTGCTGAGCTCATTTTGTTTATGAATTGTGTTATCATTTCCTTCATTGCTATTGTTTTAGTATTTGCTAAATATTTGTGCTTGTCCTCTTTTTTTATTTTGATGTGACAGTTTATCATTTTTCTTTGAGGTTATCCAGTGATTTATAATTTTCTTCCCAAGTTTAGAATAGTACGTTCTATCTTGCAATTGTCTTGACTTCCTTACCACTTAGAAGTTCTGTAAATACACTATTTTTTCCCCTTTTTGATTTGTAGTTGTCTTCATTTGCCAATTGATGTCTCTGGTTCCCTGCTTACAATCTTGTAAGCTTATTTCACTTTGGATACTTCCATAACTGGGTTGGTTTCTGGGTTATGTCATCATGTCTGTTAATAATGGTCAGTTGCTGTTTGCTGTTGTTCATTCTCTGTCCAAAGGACTCATGTTAGCATATACTGTAATTTTGGTCTGGTTTTAACAAAATCCCTTATTTCTGCTTCTCTGAAAATGTCCTAATTTCACCATCATATTTGATAGATAATTTTGCTGGGTATGTAATTTTTGGTTGGAAGGAAATTCTTTTCTTTGAGGGTTTTATATATACCATCTCACTGCCTCCTCACTGCATGGTTTCTGCCAATAAATCAGAGTTTAGTCTTATTGGTTGCCCTTTGGATGTAACTTTCATTTATCCCATGTTGCTTTCAGGATTCTTTCTTTGTCTTTGGTTTTGGTGAGTTTGATTATGATATGTCTTGGTGATTTTCATTTGGGGTCTATCATGTTTGGGG